AGTCAACAAAAATAGATATTTACTTGTTATTTCAGACCATTTTTCTAAATAGATAGAAATTAATTCTTGATAATGGTAAACAATTTGTTAGTCAAATATTTGAAGGGTTATGCAAAAGACCAGGCATAAGCCACCTAAAAATGGTTACCAGAAGCAGTCAAACATGGCATAGCTAAAAATGGTTACCAGAAACAGTCAAACATGACATAGCAGGTTAATAAGAACATAGTGAGTGATATGTTGTTAAGTGAGAAACTATTATAAGTGCTGGGATAGAGGGGTCAAAGAGTTAGTTTATGCATTAAGAACAGTTAGGCATGATGCAATAGGAAAAATTCCAGCAGAACTATTCTTAGGCCGAAAGCTAATTATGCCACTGGATACTTATTATTATTATTTTGTAGAAGAGAGCTCCGGAATTTCAAATAAATATTACACAAAAGATAATATATGAAGCAGTCAAAAATTCGGATATGGCACGGAAAAAACAGAAATTATATTATAACATGAAAATATAAGAAATAATTTATAAGGTGGGAGGCAAAAGTTTAAAGGCGTTTACAAGCGTTCGTTCTCATCTTCAGGGAAAGACAGAATAGCTAAATTTTGTCCACGTTTTCAAGATTCATACTTAATTGAAAGGATTAGAGAATCAGTAGTTTATTTAAAAGATACAAAAGGGGAACAGACAGTGGCAAACGCTGATCAAATTAAGCCATATTATGACCGGACTAAAATGCAGATTTTTACGAATATTTTTCAGGACGCTTATAAAGAAAACGGGAAAGCAAAGAAGAACAGTGGAACTTGAGCTGCTGAAATACTGATACGCAGTCGCATAGACCTCCGACCTAAGGTTCTACACCAATCAGAGTTATATGTCCATGCGACGGAAAAGAATCTACAGCCAGCGGCATTCACTGAATCAATGATAATAATAGTACAATGCTAAATTGACAGTGTCATCTATACAATAATTGTTACATAATAATCCGTATGAAAATAAATATACTATCAATTAATAATTACATTGTCATGGATAGGATCTATGTTGTGGAGAGTGGAACTTATATATTAACCAGTTTTTAAACCTATGTCTTCTTCAATACGTCATAACTTCATGTTATCAGTTACACACCTAATGATGTGTGTCCGTATTATTTTTGCAGTTATCCACAGAGTAAGCCAGTCACATCAGTTCAGGCAGTTGATAGTTCCATAGCCCAAAGTATATGATGTTGTGTAGATTATTCCATTTTCACTTTTGTTAACTTCATCGTTCAAGTACTTGTCCACTTCGATACATCATAACTTCGTGTCCTTAACAGTAGCACACCTCATTATGTGTGTCCATAGCAATTTGCACACCGCTGTGTCGCAATTATCCACAAGTCAATCACGAAATTGCAATAGGGAAGTTCATTGTAATATGTACACTATTTTACTATTATCCACAGAAGCAAATGTTTTGTAAATAATGACTTGGCTCCCAGATGATAAAAAAAAAAGAAGGAAACTAATCCTTAAATTTTTCAATATAATTCTAAATTGTGCAAAACTACAAATTTGTTAAACAGTTCCAGTCAATACAAATTGACTGGTATTCCAACAATATAAAGCACATATTCTAAAATAAAACGTCTAATGGAAAACAGGAACTAATTCCCAATTAAAATAGACATAAAATACATAATTATTCAGCACATATTATATACCAATCATCATACCATAAAAATACACATGTTTCAAATGCTGCAACTAATTTTTCATTACAGTTAGAATATTTACCAATCAAACATACTACAAATGTACATGTTAAAAAAAAAAAACTGCAACTAATTTTTTTTTTCATGGCAGTTAAAATAATAAATTTCTATTATACAATTATAAAAAGCACAAATAAACAATTTCAATCTATACAAATTGACAGGTATTCCTACAACATACGAACACATATTCAAATATAGCTAATCATTATTGTAAAATGGCTATAACAGTGCCCAATTTCTTCAAATAATTAAAAACATCTACAGAAAAACAGGAACCAATACCCAATTGTAACAAACATTATTCGGTACATATAATATACCAATTAATTATACCATATAAATGCACGTTTCAAATGCTGCAACTAATTTTTTCATTACAATTAGTATAGTTATCAATCCATCATACTATATAAATGCACATGTTTCAAATACTGCAACCAATTTTTCATTACAGTTAGTTTATTCTAATTTGCCAGCTAATAAAATAAATCCGCTCTAAGTTGAATTGGCTGTAATAGTTCACAATGCTTAAAATAGTTAATCTACCGGAAAACAGAAACGTATACCCAATTGTGATGGACATGATATACAGAAGTTGTTCTATACAAGGCTGTTATAATTCCAGATCCTATAAAAAGCTACAAAACATCCTCAGATATTTATTCTTATATGCAAATACAAAACACTGATCTCTCTATCAAATATAGAAGAGACATTTACCAATGCTATCAAACCTCGATAGACTTAAATATTTCATACATTTAATTATAACTCTAATAACAAGGAAGCATTATAACCCAGAAAATAATTAGATACAGTTCTAAATTCCTGTTCTTACTGAAAATGCAGATATTCTAAGAACTGTAATGAACTTTTTTTTCCCCCTTTTTTTTACACAGTCAGAATATTCCAGTTTACCAGCTAAGAATAATTGTAATTAACTTACAAAAATGCAAAAATAATACAATAACAAAATGGCAAAAAAATAATAAATAAATAAATAAATAAATAAATAAAAAAAAATAAAAAATAAAAAATAAAAATAAAAATAAATAAATAAAAATAAAATAATAACAAATAAAAAAAAATCATAATTAAAGGCTATAATATTAACATACAAACAGAGAATTCCCATGTGGAAGTGCAGAGCATATCCAGTACTTAATAGTCCTATTCTATGCATTGAAGTTAAACACACAACTATCATTACAACATGTCAAATGGGAAGGAAAAAAAAATTAAAGGCTACCCATAGTGCAAATATTATGCGAAGGTTGTTGGAAACGTATACATTTTATTGCAAATATTAAAAATTTGAGTTAATCTGTGCTGAAGAATTTGTCGTTTAATAGTGTTTTAGTCCATTCACTCCAATATAAGTCAGATGGTCTTTGCAGATGAAATTCAGCGGTAAGTGGGCAAGAAAATGCAAAATGGTCTGGAGACCCAATACTTCCACAGTGACATGTGTCATCTTCCTTAAGATGAAATCGGAATAAATACGACAGAAAGGGACCGTGTCCCGTGAGAAAAGTTGATTGCGCTGTAGATGAAACCAAAAATGTTTCCGAGACCTTTGGCAAAAATTTAAAAGTTCTTCTGCCCGTTGTGGAGTGTTCCCATTTTTTTTTTTTTTTTTTTTTTTTTTTTTTGCCATTGCTGGAGTAAGTTCTCTTTTGTATATCTCTTAATATAAGAAAATGGTAAAGGCAATAAATATTGAGGAAGATTATTCCCTCTTACCGCTTCCTTTGCCAACTTGTCTGCCAACTCATTGCCATAAATCCCCCTATGAGCGGGAACCCAGCTCAATAAGGGTCTAAGAAGGGGCAGGAAGGTTAAGAAGAAGGATTTTTATCTCTTGCTACTAATTGTATTTCTTGAATTTTCCCCCCTTTATGGCCTCCAGACTAGAAAGTGAATCACTGTAAATTTCCACTTGTGATGGAAATTGACTTGAAAGATTGTACTGCTTTTTTTAATGAAAGTAGTTCAGCTTGAAAAATAGAGGTTCGCTGGCCTCAGTCTTCGACGCCATGAATGCATTGGTTTGTCATTTTGAATTACACATAGTCAACATCCTGTTCCTTGTTCCGAATGAGATCCATCTGTGTAAATCTGGAATTGACTTTTTGACTCATTCGAGAAGGTTGTCCTTATTGCACATGAAATGTCATTTTGTGCTGGATGACACAGAAGTTCTGTGCTCCTAGTTTCATAACTAAAAGGATCGTATGAAATATTCCACAGTTTACTTTCTAGATGAAGACGCAAAACTCGAGCCAGCACCGCTTCCCTTTCTGCTGTTAAGTCCAACGGAGGAATGCCGGACAAGACCTGCAAAGCATCATTGGAAGTTGTTCTGTAACTTCGACTGATCATTAGAAGAAAAGATCTTTGAATAGAAATTAAGAGTCGTTTCTCATGTGTCGTAAGAGAGTAAGCCCATATTGCTGAACAATATAAGACTATTCTTTGTCCTTGAAGGGGATCCACCTCTTTGTAATGAAAAATTAGAATTAATTAGGTTCACGTCAAATTTCGTGTTATAGTAAGAAGTTGGCTCTGAATTCTTACCTATTTAGAATTTAAGTTCTTCATGAGGTTGTTAAGGACTTCCTTTTCGTACACTTAAATTCTGCCAAGGAAAAATGTAGAGTATAATTTAAGTTTTCAACCTGTTATTTAATTTAATTTCCTTTTCTATCGGCTTTGTTTCCATTTCCCTGCCATAAAGTAAATTTCGCGCTTGCGCAATATTCCAATTAGGTAGGGAAAAAAAGTAGTTAAAGGAAAGTTTTTGGAGGGTAAAATCAGAGCATGTTCAATCTGCTTAAAGCCACGTTGCTAACTTTGATTCTCTTGATTAGGACTCTGCAGCGTTGAGTTATTCTTACCATTAGGCTTGTTTATGCCAACTTTGATCAGAGCCAGCTTGCACACTAGTTATACTCTGAAGACATTAAGCTATACTGAAATTTCATTAGGTTTAGTTCACTCAAAGCTATTGGCTTCTGTAAGGACGAGTTGGTGTCATCTGTTAAACTTTATTTGGATTAATAAAGAATCCTTTATACTCTTTCCCTGTCTCTCTGGTACCCAATTGTTTTTTAGAATTCTGGTCTAATTTTATGCTCATAAGAAGGCCAGACTCTATAACATATATGCTAAATTACAAAGCTTGCTAACAATTAATTAATTTTGACATTTTTTAATGATATTAAAACTTACTCAATGTTTTTTAAGTCAGTTTTATACTTTTCCTTTAGCCTGTTAAGAGTTGAAACAGCAGAAGTTGGATCATTGACATCATCTTCGGAATGTTTCAGTTTCCACATGTGTGCCTTTTCAACAGTAGATAAGCTTTTTGAACAACCAGGCTCAGGTTCTGAAGCTTAAAATTAAAAATTCTTATTAAATTACTAAAGAACGCTCATTTCTAAGAAATTCCTTTATATGGTATTTTAATGGAAATTAAATTCTGTTTAATATAATCTGTAAATCAAAAATATAATTTATAATTTTATATGGAACACGGTAGAAATATACAACTAGTTATTAAAATGGCAAAATAAATTTATTCTATCAATACATATTCATTAATAACTTGATGCAGCTGTTGAAAAAATAACATGCAGCTAATATGAATGCAAAGAACAGCAAAATATCTAACAACATTTTCATAATATTCCCAATGTAGCTGAAATGAATATCAAAAGCATAGCCTCTGTTCAGACCAAGGACTAGGCTTCTCACCACCAACTGCAAACTCTTGCAACTTTTAAATTCTGCCATTCAGTATCACTGTACCAGTTGCACTGCCACTGGCACCGACCCTGCTTCTTTTATTTTAATATAAGTTCAAGATATATAGTAAGGGCATTACAAAAAGATTAAAGTGAAATGAAAAATGGAAATTACCATTTCTTCGAAATAATGAAATAATAATAATTTCATGAACTTATTGCATCTGACGTAAAATTACCATTAATTGCCAATTCCAACAACAGAAGCAAATCGCTAAACTTCTATATTCTTTGTAGTGTATGTACAGCAAAATTTCAGTTTGTTACAGAACTCCAGCAAAGTTCGCCATTAGCAAACAGCTACTCAGTATTAGAATTTTTCACAATTTTGCTGCAGATTCTTTCAATATATCTAATGGCAAAATTTGCTGGAGTTCTGTAAAAAACTGAAATTTACTCTAGTTACTGAATCTTTCTTTACTGTGAAAGCAATCACTAAACAATTTTCTACACTTAGTAATAGACAAACCTCAGCAAGAAGATAAAGCTCGTTTTATCCTAAATATGAAAACTACAATATTATAACAAAGAATGACTTCAATTTCATTTTCTTATTGACCAATAAACAATAATATACACTCTATAAGATGAAAAACAATGCACCAAGAAGGAGTTATCCGAATGGAACGAAACTGCATGTGCCCATACTTTACAACAGAATGTTCAAATGGTTAATTTTTAGCGGCCAGTGACTGAGCAGCAAGAGCTCCAGTGCATTGCATTAGGGCATCCATATGGTATGCAAAACAGAGGGCTTTTCACAGCTAAGGCATAGTTTTCAGTCCATACAAATTTAACGAACGCAGTCACGTCGTCAGTCATTTTATTTTATAATGGCTTTTGAGTGACGAGACTATCTTCATGGCAACTACTCCGATAAAAGAAAAAGGGAAAAAAAAAAAAGGAGAAGAAAATAGTTATTGATTCGAGCATTTTGGAAACAGACAGAAACCAGACGAAAACTGTAGAACTAGCATTTTTATTTAGGATTTGAACTGAATTTTTTGGAAGTTTTTGAATCGGCTGTAATCGGATATTGTTGTTTAAATGATCATCATTTTAAACTAAAAATGTAAATAATATTGTATCAATATAAAACTAAGAACAGCTAAATCTCACCTGATGATTATTTCTACCTTATGAATGATTCACAAATGAAGACATTAGTTTTTTTCTAGCACATATTTGCAATGTAATCCAGCATCAAGAAAATCATCAAAGGAGTAAGTCTTGAAATTTATTGAGCCCTTATATTGATAGATTTAACGCTAATTGGAGTATATACTAGTTTTATTTAAAAGGCTAACACGCAACCAACTCCTGACTGAAAGGAAAAAAGACTGATATGGAATACTGGTGCCAGAATGGTGCATTTCCATAAATGCTTCAAAATTGCAACTCCTACTAATCCAAAAGCACAAAATCTAAAGGCATATGAACTGTACAATTAAACTTTTCAGTTAATTGTTCTGAATGTCCGGACGAGGAAATACTTAGGAATTTTACTTAACCAATCTCTCTCTTAGACCGATTATATAGCATATGTCCGAAAAAAAGAGAATTCTTTCATTCACAATATCTAGGAAAATTTTCATTCCTTAGGAATTTTACTTAACCAATCTCTCTCTTAGACCGATTATATCGCACATGTCCGAAAAAAAGAGAATTCTTTCATTCACAACATCTAAGAAAATTTTCAATCTCAAGCTTTAAGTGCAATAGACATATCTATGTTTTTGCGACATGATCGATCATCACTTACGCCTCTCCGGTTTGGGGAACTCTCACTGCTACACACATGAATGTGCTTTAGACCAGTATTTCCCAAAGTGTGGGTCGCGACCCGGAACTGGATCGCAGAAAAATTCAGCTGGGTCGTGGCAAAAATTGTAAAAACCCAAAAAATCTATAACATTTTGCTCTAAATTTAATATTTTTCGAAACTTTTTCAAGTACTGCAGGTGGCAACCCTTTACCACCGTTTCCTACCGGACCCTTTAAATTCGGATGCTCTGATTGGCTGATTTCGATTCGTCATTCAGAGCCTTCTCCGGTACATGCGCCGTAAACTCACGTGTATCAAAACAAGGTTATGTTGAATTTTTGTTACCTATTTTATTTGACAATAGTTTATTATTACCTATTATTAATAGCAACGTCATATTGGTAAGCAACAAAAATACTTTTTCTTATAAATCATTAATAAACAAATTCTTTTTATTAAAGCTTTCAACCTTTTTTAAAATGGATAAATGGTTAATCAAGAAAACTACAGATTTAAATGTTGATCATCAACCAAGCACGAGCAAAGCTGAAAATCATGATCGGGAAGAAACTGTGCCTGAAGCAACTAAAGCAGATATACAGCGTCAAAATAACAAGCGTAAAGCTAAGACACAATAACACGCCGAATAAATACTAATTCAGAAGTCAAAAAACAAAAATCAGCGTTATATTTACAAAATTTCCCCCAGGACTAGTTTTGATGGTTTTACCGAACCACCATCCTCAGCTGCAAAACCGTAAATGCATTTGAGGTTTTGCAGCTGACCAGTTTTGTGGTTTTGCAAATGCATTTGCGGTTTTGCAGTTCTGAGTCCTGCGACATGAAACTGGGACACCAATGTCTGTAGTCACATTGACAGGTAACTCAGAGAACGGATCTGAAGCCATAACTATGCTTTCCCAGCACTTCTCTGGATTGAAATCACGACCACCTATAATTTCGGCAGACAGGATTTCAATATTTAAGAGGACGCAGTCTACGCTTTGCCTGCCTGCCCAATATCGCCTCAGAGTATTTGCTCACAGTAACAAAATGTTTACCCCTCTTCACTCCTTCTGTCACGTTATGAAGGTTCAAAGTCAGGTGCCAATCAACAGCAGTACATCAGCAGAGTTGATAAAATCACACTCCGTGCGATGATTCAGCATTAATATTGATACTGGTATAACTTCCAAGCGATGTGGTTCCGTCGATCTACGTGGAGTGTACCAAACCTTTGCAAACGAGTTCAATGGTAAGCAGATGTCACTATCAGAGAGAAGACTTGCAACTGGACTAAAATAAGCAGTGTGGTCAAATAGCAGGACCGCTAGACATTTGAGCCATAGCGATGCTACCGTTCGACAATGTTGGCAGGAATGGGTGAACCACTGCCATACAGAGCATCAAGAAAGTAGTGATCCACAAAGAGTGACGACAGAATGTGAGGACACAGTGATCATCTGATCCGTGCTTATAGCCTTTTATGTATACTTATCAACAATGCGACATGAAACTGGGACACCAATATCTGCAGTCACATTGACAGGTAACTCAGAGAACGTATCTGAAGCCATACTATCCTTTTTCAAATGACTATACCTTTTCAAAGTACACTGCTACCCATGTTTGCAGAGGTAGTGGGAGCATTCGACCTGAGATCTCACAGACTGTAGTAAGATTGTTTTGCCCTCAGCCACAGAGCTTGACAACCTGGAATTATGGTATGGGGTTGGCCATTCATTTTATAGCTGGATCCATTTGGTTGTCATCCATGATATCCTTACAGCACGGTGGTAGGTCTATGATATACGCCTTTCCTTTCGCGGACCCGTGGTCTTATATTTCAACAGGATAATGCCCGGCCGCACATGGCAGTCCTTCCTTCTGCTTGCCTTCGCGATTCTCGAACATTTTCCTGGCTGGCGCGATTGTTAGATTTCTCCCCAGTACAGCACACCTGGGCTTTGATGAGCAAGTAACCTTGAATCACACTGATTTAACTTGCTAATCAATACATGTATGACAAGCAATTTTTCAGAAGGACATCTGCCAACTCTACGAATTAGCCGGATAACAGCAGCCAGAAATTTGCCAATGCATTATTGACATTTTTTTCTCTTGTAACTATATTTCCTGAATAAAAATTTCAATTTTTATGATACTGCTAGCCTTTCGTTTTCAATACATTTACATCACACCTACCAGTTTTTATCCCATTCAGATAAATCCTTGGTGCATGTTTGTTTGTTTGTTGTTGTGCCCATGAAGTCAGTTAGATGGTACCATATGTGGTGCAGATCGCTTTAGCTACCTCGAGAAAAATTTTCCTCATATAGGTCTTCCTGGTGGCAATCACTAATTTGCTGCTTGTAGCTAAGATGGCAAGGCAAGAAAATATGTGGTCTGCTTCAAGTTCGATTCCAACGCAGTTTCTGCAGACAGTTTAGGTTCTTGTTTTGTTTGGTAAGATTTTCAACCCTCTGAAATGACCAGTTTTAAGTCTTGTGAAGGTTTTGAAAGTAACTCTGTTTGCATTGAGTTCGCATTGCTGAAATTTCTGCCTGATAAACGGAGTTTTTAATTTCGAATTAGCAACAGAGTTTATCTCATTAAATCATGAGGGATGGTGAGAATCTTCCTTTAGTTGTATCGCTTCTTCGGCCAGGGCCAAAGAAGGCCTTGTTCAAAGAAGCGAGAATTTTTTTGTTATACAGTGTATATGGAATATCGTCAATCCTGAGCTGGACTCCCAGATCATGATAACAACTATGGATAAGTTTGAGCCTAAATTTCAGAAGAAACAGCACAAAGTACAATTATATAAAATATAAATTAAAAGTTTTAGTATTCAGTATCAAGATACAGTAACATTGTTATTATTAATAGTGTTTGAATATGTCAAAGTACAAGAGGACTGTTTCCCTAAGCAGGAGAATTCCTTCAACGAGGACTTTCTAAAGAATACTTACTTGAATTCACATTATGCAAGGGAAAAATCATGAAAACCAAACATTTAGCCAGTCCGTTTGCTTAAATTCAAACCCGAGTTAAATTCCTGGTATTCAGATGATTTACTCAAGATGCTGGTGGAACATGGTGATTAGATACAGAAGATGTTTCAGTACAGTCTTACTTAGCCTATTTCTCACTATTCAAATCTTGTCTAGTCAATTTCACATACATCTCATGGTCTTTGCCATATCTTATCTAAATCAAATTACACTCATGTCCATAAATTAAGGATAATCCAAAATTAGGCAAAGGAAGAGTTAGAAGCAAAACAAATTTGACTTATTTGTAAAGCTTATTTATTAAACAAAAGGTAAAGAGCAAAGAAAGATGCTATATGGTTGATATTATTAAAAAAATTAGCGATTTTTTCTCCCTGAGAGCAATTACAAAAAAAAAAAAAAAAAAAAAAAACCTACTTACAAAAAACCTGTATTACATGGTTAGTATGATTGTTAATACATTGTATGTCTCCCAGATGATGCAATACAGTCCGTACGACGCCTAGGCATGTTGAGTATCAAATTATCGATCTGATCTTGGGGGATATTACACCACTCAAAAATGAATGCTCTCCGAAGTTCCGGTAGACATGTAGGAGGAGGTTGACGGGCTGCAACTCGTCGGCCAAGCATGTCCCACACGTGCTCTACTGGATTCCAGTCTGGTGAGAATGCTGGACAGCCCATACGGGTGATATCCTCTGATTGAAGGCATTCGCTTACGGTGTTTGCATGGTGAGGACGGTCGTTGTCATCCATAAACACAAATTGTGCACCCATGGCGTCCTGAAACAAACTTACATGTTGTTCCAGAATGATGTCCCGATAGATTTGACTTGTCGTGGTTCCAATTTGAACATGGAGGTCAGTTCTGGAACCCAGAACAACTCCACCCCAAAAGAGCACTCCTGCACCACCGTAACGGTGTCGTTCAATGATGTTTTCTTGGTGGTAACGGGTGCCTGGAGCTCTCCATATGAAAGTCCGGCGAGAATCAGACTGCAAGCTAAACCTGGACTCATCGGAAAACATCACACAAGCCCACTGTGCATGGCCAAGCCCAATGTGTGGTGTCCATAATGCATGCTCTCTACTCCAGGCTAACCACAGGCGACAGTGAGTTGCAGTAAGTGGAACGCATCTGACAGGTCTACGAGCATATAGACGAATCTGCCCTAAGTGTCTGTACATGGTCTGCCTTGAAATTGTCGTACCATGGCTGAAGAGAGCTGACGAAAAACAGGTCTGAGGGTGTGCTCCACCTGTTTCTTTTGGCAGTAACTGCCAAATACCGGTCCTCATTCGGCGTTGTAACTCTGGGGCGACCTGTGCTGTAACGTCTACTTACATTACCATCATCTTGGAATCGTTGCCAAAGCCTGCAGATGACACTCTGGGCAATTCCAAGTTCGTTTGATACTTCCAGTTGGGTACGCCCACATTCTTCCAGACGGCCAATACGACGTAAAAAATCTACCACGTAAAAAATCATCCAAATGCGTCCTTTGTGTCATAACTATTCGGTTATTGCACTGAAATACTTATGAAGCCCTGTGAACAATTTTACTTCTTTGCCTGTATTCCTTATATATCACTCTCGTCATTGTGAAATACCATAGGTGTCATCTGGTTACTTCCTGAAATTTGCATATGATTCTTGAAGATGTGTGTAGTGATTTTACAGGTGATATATTTTTAGAGTTCGATTTCCGCGTGACTCCGAATTATCCTTAATTTATGGACATGAGTGTATTTTAGATCCATCTACTAATACAATTTGTGCGTATGGTAGTTTTATTAATAATTTCAATTGTAATCAAGTAATTTTACTGCTATAATAAAAGTTATACCAAACTTCACAATATCATGGGTACTTAAAAAATAATATTTTATGTACATAACTTAAGAAATTAAAAATTACTTAATTAAACAAAGGAAATCATTATTTATTTACTTACAGAAAAATATTGGTTGCTATAATAAAATATATACAGTCAAAAGTCGTTAATCCGGACTCGTCGGGACTTCGGCGATTCCGGATTATCGATTTTTCCGGATTATAGATCATCAGTTTAAATCTGGTAAGATGGCATGCAGAAATTACAAAATTAAAAATATGAAACCGTAATTTATGAAATAAAGAACAATTATGATCTAAAGGTATCAAAATTTACAAAAAAAAAAGCTTAATATTTATTTGTTTACTTTAAACATTCTTTCAATGTAAGTTGTTTAGTTGCTTCATTGCATGTGAAATATTTTCTATTTAACTCTATTAACAGACATAATTTCTTGTTTAGTTACAAAGTTCGCTGTTCAAGTCCTATAATTGCTCTGTCGAGAATACTGACTAATTTGTCAATCGAAATGTTTTCGTTTTCAATAACCTCTGTGTCACTTTCTTCACTATCGGAAGCGAATTATAATGACGAGGAACTTGATTTAAATCATATCAAAGACGGAGTACATCGAGATGAAATACTACATTTAGTAAGGAATTATAAGCCAAATAAAATAAAAACATCTGCCCTGAAGATAAGGATAGTGCTGACAGATCAATTTCCAATTCATTGAGCGCTGCGGCGTTTCTGCCCCCCCCTGCCGCAGAGCGGCGTGAAATTGATAAAAAGATTTCGGATTTCAAAACATACTTTCATACTTTCGCTTTGTAGATCCTTTACATATTAGTAAATATATATCGGAAATTCTATTTGACATAATCGAAAGTTCAAGCTTACTTTTATAAAATTGCTCTAACAGTCTGCAAAAAATAATAAGCCGAATCCAATTCGAAGATTAAGGAACAACGCAATCTGCAACATTAACTGAATTAGATAATTTTAGCTGAGCTTATACTGTCCGTTATACATTAAACGCACATGCGTAAACGTATTATGTGCTTCCGCACACGTATATTCGCAGCCGTAAAGTTCTTACGCACACGCCTAAACACCTATGCGCAGAAAATTTGTAGCTTTAAGGTCCAGATTATGGGTGTCCGAATTAATGACTTTTGACTGTATACCTTATTTAATGGTCTGTCCGCCCCCCTCTCAGATTATTAGCATAAAGTTCTGAAAATTTTTGAAGTATCCATATAATTTCCCCCTTTCTCAAGGCATTTGGAAAGTGATTTTCCCTAAATTTTAAAACAGAATTATCTATTTAATGTTTGTTTTAGTATTACTAATTGACTTGCTTGTGGATTTTAAGTACATGGGCTATGACTGATGAAGCAATAGTAGTAACAAGCTACAAGAAAATCTAATGTTATTGATAGTTCTGAAGTTTATAGCATGGAGGAAAAGAATGAACAATGATGAATTATAAGCTGTAGAAGATGACATAAACATCAGGTCGAGCAGTATTAAATGATTTCAAGCTTAGGGAATAGAGGAAGACAACAGTTACATCAGGCAACGGGTAAAGGTAAAAGAACCAGCAATGAAGATACCTTATTGTGGATTGATAACCTTAACATCATCATGTACTTTTATTAAAAATGTAAAGCTTTTTTAAATAAATAACATTGCACTAGTTAACGGTAGTTCATCCATGAATACTTTTCATTTGTTATGGTCTTACTGTAGCCGCATCCTTCGGAAATTAAATTATTCACATAATTAAATTTCCCCTCTCAATTTTTGTACGATAAAATTAGTAAAAATCAGGATCGAATATGCGAGCAATTATGGTAAATGTAATTACTATTATATAGTAATAATATATATTAATAATAATATACACACAATATATATATAATTAGTTATACATATATCATTTGGCATATTCAGGTATAATTCATCTATGTGGAGAATATACAAGTGTCTTATTCTTACGCTGAGAAGCTTTATATTCATCTCGAACTACAGCTTCATATCCTTCTTTTTCCTCCACTTCTTCAAAATCATCATCATCTTCATCATCATCATCTAAACGGAATTATATATTAAGAATTTGTATTAAAATAACTTCCTAGCTTCATGCAGCACATGTTATAATTATCTTCTTCTAATATTGTGAAAATAATATTAAAGCCATCAACTTATTTATTACAGGAATAAAAATACATATTTAATTTTACTTTACACTTGAAACTTATTAGTACTTGAAAAATTATTGTAAACATAAGGAAATTTTATGCTACTAATGACTCCATCAGATAATTACAAAGTTCTGCACAAAATGTTTTTTTTTTCAACTTTCATTAAAGTCATCATAACATTACCTACATTTTCAATAATATTTATTTTGAATGCAACAAAATAAATGTAATTTGATAAAATTTGTGTAAATTTCAGATTAAAATTAAAATTTCATGATATAACCAAACCAAAATTTTGCAGGTGATATTCTCAAATATTCACAAATTCATATAATAATTATATACATCTTCAGAAGGATTTCCTCAGAAAGAAGGTACTGTAAAGTCTTTAAATATACACTAATGGAACGTAATTTCACACATTTTCTACCAATGATAAATAAATAATACGATATGCCATACTCGATACTACAAAAAAACTATAAAACATAACAGATCATTGATTCTATGCATTTTAATTAATTTCTTTAAGCATATTAAAATAATGTGATATTAGAAATATCATTTATTAACTACAAAAATGTAGCAAAATTTCATAAAATTATCAATTGGATATATTATAAATTACATCAATTATATTATTAAAACCAAAGATAAAATTATAAAGTTTTTTGCCTTTAAATAACTCAGTCAGATAAGCAATATATTGTTTTAATTGAAAAGTAATTCTGAAAGTAATTTGAAAAGTAATTCTGCATTTTGAAAAGTAATCCTTATAGAAAATTGAATAGTAGCATTCTGAAAAATGGCTATTCACCAGGTTGTGTAAAAGATCAGTTAAAAGGTTTTATGTTTCATGTAATAATAACATATACAAGATCTTGAGAATGCTAAATTATCTAAAAGCATAAGCTGAAACTAAAGATGTTTATAATATCAATATCAGTACCATATTTTTTTACTTACATTGATTTATAAATTAATTCTTCCTATAAAAGACAGGTATTCAATAAACTTTTCCCAAACATTACTTAAAAGATTTACATTACTTTCTAACTATAATTAATTTTAAAACAGAAATGTAAGTAGTTCTAACAGTGTAAAAACTGATACTTCATTTGTTATATATACATAAAGCAATCTAAATTAGGATTACAAATTTTTGCCAAAAACTAATAAGAGATACTCCTTAATAGATATTCAAGAAACATTTTGTGATAAAACACATGACATACTTCAGACATAATTGCATATCTATTCCAGATTATGAGCAAAATTAATATAGCACTTAAAACTGCAGTTAACTAACTGACAGTTTAACTAACTGCAATTTTAACTAAATTGCAGTTTTTAGTGGAGTAAAACAAAATTTGATTTCATAGTTCTAGTACAACATGATATACAGTAAATTAATAAAATTACCAAAATGTTCATACAATAATTTGATATAATTGTAAGGAATATGCCTTTTTGTTAAATGTAACTTGTGGCCAATTCTCTATAAGACTGTAAGTGACTTATCACTATGTCCAAGATGAAAACAGAAATGTAAGAAGGGTGTAAAATAACTTTTTATTTAAAACTAAGTAAGTTGAACAGAAGATACATCTGGTGCTTACAAATCAGCCAGCAGTTATGGTGAGAACTCAAAGTAGAATTTTAAATTTAAAACTAAATCTATATATCAATCAGTCAAAGGTTATGCAGAATTTAAATGCAAAAGTAGCTCTTAAGTTTACATTGATGTGGAAGCACTATCAGCAAGAATAATGCAATGGCAAAGACAGGAACTTTTATCTTAGAATAGCAAGCTAGTAACATGGCCTTCAGCAGGCAGAACATGCTCTGTCTAAACAATCTCAAAACCTCACTTAAATACGCATAAACTAATGTGCACTCTAGCAGGAAAACAGAAAGAGAAAGGAAGCAGTAGAGATTCAGAACATAAAACAACTGGTTAATTAACATAACTATACCCCAGATAATATATAGTAACTTTTAATTACTGATTTAACAACAAACATGTTAATGGTGAGCTAGACTGCAAGATATAAACTGCAAAATAAACTTTTAGTAATTGTATAACACCCTCAACAAATCGAACAATTTATAATCTTAAATCTGCAAAAATCAACACCCTTTTTTTATGTTTATTTTTTTAACTTTGTTCTCGTTATACATACAGTATATGTTCGCCTGTGAAAATATGTATCTACTTTAAACATTTTTAATATTATAAATGTACCTAAATTAGAAGTGCTTGGCTTTAGTTGTAACTCTTGGTATTTTTCAAGAGTTGACTCCAACAACTGTTTTAGATCAATTGCTTGTTTTAGTGCATCTGTACAATTACTTCCTTTTGTCAGGATCTATAGAAAGAGAAGCATAACAATAGCAACAAGATAGCATGACATATTTATAAACATAATACCTCTTTAAACAGGGCAACAATACTGGCACCTGGATATCATTGTATTTCCTGTCATTATACAATATAAAACATTATTTATTTATAACTGAATTTGATTAATAATGTATATTAGTAATGCACTGATATAATAGTATAAGCAAGCTCTTTCAATGCACTACATTACCAAACTAAAAGCAAAATAATTTAATGGTTAAATTTTAGTTATATTTCTTTTATGGCCTGGCCTTGAAAAATTAATTTTTGCATTTAAAGGGAATACCATAAAATTTCATAAGTAAGCATTTTTTTTTAAACTTTTAAATACTAGTTGAAAATATGCTGCTAGATTTTGGTAAGGCTCTTTTTTAAACTCATTTAAAAATATTAAATTGTGGTATATTATAAACAGAAAAAATTCTTTTCTCAAATAAGAAAACATACAAAATGGGTTAATAAAATTTATGTGTTGATGGAGTACAAGACTAAAATTTTACCAAATTTTATTATTAATTCAATGAACTGTTTAATTTTTTTAGGAATTAGTTTTCAGTTTTTTTTTCTTAAAGATGATGCGAATAAGATATTCCTTTTATATATCAAACTTGCTTGAATTTTTATAAAAATTAATTATCTGCTTACAAAGTAATTTCATTACATAGCACATAACATATCTCACAGTCTTATCTCAAAATGACTTTTTGATGATAAGTAAAGGAGTATATATCCAGAAGGCTTTTAGCATGGCATTGAACTAAGAAAATTATCTCTAGAAAGCTACGTGAATACCTCATTTAATGCAGGTGAATTCCATAGATACAGATAATTTTTTTAAATCTGTTCTTAAAAATTGGTGCAGTTTTAAAAGAAAGAAATTTTAAAATATTCTAATTTTAACAGTCTTTACACATAAAATAAAAATGTATAGAAAAAAAATGGTACCTGATTATCTGCTATGAAAAGAGTTTTTGCATGTGATCACTTTGGGAGGGATGGAGATACTCTATTAAATTTCAGTTCTCCTTGAAGACAAAAACTGGAGATATCGAGGGAAAAGAATTTTTGAACAAATAATAAAAGTGCAGTTTTTTTTTTCAGAAATGTACTCTGTTTAATGATAACGACACATTTTTATTTTCATTTTAAATTCTATTTACTATTTTGAATAAATTATTATTACAGTTTTGAATAGTTTAAGACATTGGCAGCAAAAATACTAAAAAAAATCAGTTTAGGTAGGTTTTTAATGGGTACTATTAAAAATGTAATGTAAAAGCATTCAGCATATTTAGTCAGAGTTTTATGCTAATATTAAAAACTTGATAAAATGAAGCACATAAAAAATTTCTTACCTTCAACCATTTTGTCACAACTGGAAGGTACCGAGCTGTGATTTGCTTCTGCATATCATTTAAATTTTCTACAACTGGTAAATTATCCTCATTAACTCTCACTGCAACTTTAGATTCTAAACGAATAGCAGTAAGACACAATACTGTTAAAAATAACATCTTTTGCCTTTACATGTACGGAACTACAATTTTAGAATAATTTTTTGAAACAATATAGATACGATTCGATGACCAAAATATTTGGTACTTATGTATTATCCCATCAGTTGTGAAACTATTGCTATACAGCACAATTTAGCGCCAGTTATGGATAAGCATGATACAATGTGATTCTTTTAGAACTGACATATTTCATTAGGCTGTAGTTTTGTTAAAAAGTATCTGATTTTAATGCGGTTTGCGGCAAAAGATTCAGGAAGGATGAAAATTTAGTGGTCCATTCAGTTTTTTTTTTTTTTTTATGTGCGACCAAAAAAAAAAAAAAAAAAAAAAAGGCGAAATTCCATACAAGAAGGATTGCATACTGTGTTGAAGTCATAACAGTTTGAGGTTTTGCCAATGATGCCAAATGCAAAATATGGATTTGATCAGGATTTCCTTTGCAGACCGCATTATTTCCAAAGGTGTGTGGCCTCTGCGGTCACCATATTTCTTCTTATGGAGTTTTCTGAAGGGTCGTATCTATCCCGATAAACCACGGACACTTAAATTAAAGGCCAACATTTCTAAGAAAATTGCAAACAACACAGTCGACATATCGTAGAGTTTTGCAGCCAACATGGTGCGGTGAGTTCGGTTATGCCTACACCTGGAGGGTGATCATTTTCAACACTTAGTGTAAGTGATTATAAACCTTTATAAAGCCTTTACTAGTCATGTTTGGGATACCACACAGCAATCAGAGGTTTTATAGGTGAGAGCCATCAATCCTTGTATAGCATTTTGGAGTTTTCGTTATTTCTTCTTTTCTTCAGCGTTGTACATCAAAAAACAGGATGGACCATTAAATTTTCTTTTTTTTTTTCTGAATCTTTAGCCATAAACCGCAGTAAAACCGGATACTTTCTAACAAAAAATTCAGCCCAATGAAATAGGTCAGTTCTAGAAAAATCACCCTGTATACTAACACACAGCGAACATCTCATTTTTGTCTGATGTAACCTTGATTTATATTTGATATGACCCAGTTTGTTTTTATGAACAAAGATATAAATTAACATTTTTCTTGCATTTTTGGGGAAAAAAAAAAAAAAAGAGAGAGAGAGAGAGAGAGATTAAAATTGGAAACAGCAACTACTGAATTATTAAAAAAAATTATCTAACCATAAAAAAGCGTACATTAATGGTCATGGTATAATCTGTTGAATAAGGGTGACAAAAAATTAACAGACTGAAAAATTACATGCCGGAAAATTTTACTCATAGAGTTCTAAACAGAGCTTCCAGTAAAATCAGACAGCATAACATGGTAAAAAAAATTTAAGTCAGCCTTTTTACAGAGTAGGTTGAATACTGATTGTTTGGGAAGCAAAGAGGTATCAGTTCTTTAGACTTCCACGGGACCAATTAGGGCATATTAGTAGGATCTCTGCCAACTTTCCTGATTAACAAGATAATACATAAGTACCAAGATTTTACTTCACATGTCATAAATTATCTGCATTATATTCTGGATTTTAAGATTAGTCTATATAATGAAATAGAGATAAATTAGCTTATTTAATCTACAATTTATTTGGAAAATGTAAAATCATATTAAATCAATTAAAGAGAGAACATAACCCACCATTATTAACTTCAACAACAATAGATTGTTTCATATCATATATGCCATGCTGTCTTAAGGAACTCTCAGGAAAGTCAGAAGCTATGTCCTTTTTAGAACCTGAAGTACCTGCTTTGGATTTATTACTATCAACAGTATCATTATTCACAGACTTGGCAGTTTGCTCATTTACTTTATTATTCTCAAAATCAAGAGGTGAAAAAAATTCTGCAGGATGAGGAATTAACAATTGAAAACAATTCTCCATCTGGATAACTAAATTGGATATTTCATCAGAAAGATCTAAATAAATATATATATATTAAAAAAAAATTGAGAGATAACATAAAGTAAGCATGCATGCATAATACATATTAATATCAGAATAAAAAGCACACCAACTATATATAACTTATAGAATATTATAAAACAAGCACCATTGCATTCCATATTTTATAAAAGCAGACATTACATTGCAGTAGAAATTCTAATTTGGTTCTCATATATGTCCTATATGCTATGAAATAAATTAAATATTCTATGATATAACGTAAGAGCTTTATATTGCCTATTTAACAGTTTATGCTTAACACCACTGGCTATATGTCTAATACTTGAAGGTGTACTTTTAATTAATCAGGCATAAATTGCTTATTTAATGTAATTATCAGCAGTAAAAGAACAATAATTTTACACTATTAAAAAATGAAAATAATGATTTAAATCTTGTTTAATACCTTTGTCAACACGACTAAGCAACTTTTTCCAAAATGAAAAAAAAAAAAAAAAAAAAAAAGCGCTATAGGGTCATTTTAATTACCACTACGAATTAACATTTTACAAATTAAGTCAAAACTTTTAATTAATTACTTGTCTTAAGAACTTTTTGATCATTGTATCATTGTCTGTACTATAATTTCACACTAATATTCAGTCTTTAAACATTAACTACATCGTTTTTTTACAAAGTTAGCAGCAGTTATTATATATTCGTAAATATTGTTTAAGGTGAGTAATAAATGATATTATTTATGTATATTAATTAAAAAGAAATAAAATAATTTTGATGTAAATAATTAAGCAAAAAATATTTAATTTCATTGCTGCCAAAGTTCGTTAGTATTTTTAAAATTAAATTTTAATTATGAACTTATACATTTTAGTTGACAATTGAATGTCAAATTTTATAAAGTAAATTAATATATGCTCCAGTTAGTTATAAAGCTAAAACTGATTGATTAGATCTTGAGGGAATATACTCAAACATTTTAACCAGCATATTTTATGAAAAAAATTAAACAAAAAAATAACAGTTACCTAAATTTTTGATACAGAACTTTTGAATGTATTTTTGTCATTTTTCTTATCCTTATAACTACTCCGAATTATTGAATATTCATAAATAACTAATGCAGGTTTTGCTAAAAATTTTGAAGTGTAGATACTGTTTACCAAACTGAATATTCCATTGAAATTGCTATTAATTAGTAATCTTAATATATTAAAGAATAGGACAGTAGAATGCAACATTAGGAAGAAACATATTTTACCTAATACAAATATAAACAGGTTTTGCTTAAAAGTTTTAAATGTAAATACTGAGTAACCAAACTGAATAATTCATTGAAATTGTTATTAATTAGTAATTATTAAAGAATAGGAGAGTAAAACGCAACATTAGGAAGAAACATAAGTTATTATTTTACCTAATAAAATATAAACCATAACTCTTTTACCTTTCATTTCTGCTTTGACTACATTAACTTTTTCATTCTGTAATCGTTCTAGACGTTCTTGCTCTTGTCGTTGATGCTCTCTTTGTGCAGCATTTTGAGCTTCCATATTATTGAAATCAACCTAAAACAAATTAAATACTTAACAATTTGTGAATATTTATTATTTTTAACATAAGCCTCTTAAGATGTATGAATTTTGCTTATCTTCTTTGACCTTCCCAAAAGTACTATACAAAATCCTACTAGGATGTGCTATAACCTGTATCAGAATGTATTTTAGTTCCACATAATACAGAATATCTCCCATTTGGAGACACATATGCTAGCTTAGTATTATATTCTGATGGTCTTGACTCTGGGGCATATAAAATACATGGATCCAGTTCCTACTATCTTATAGGACAGCTTATGTTCTCCCAGAGGGTATTGGCATAAGACATCTGAGTTGATAATACGATGGCCAGTTTTAAATGGTTTCAGTCTGCTCCATGCTCCACAACCTTCATGGTGTCTATGCCTCTGAAAGTACTGACCCTGGGAAGCCAATATAGCAAAAAGGTGCTTTAGAAAGAAATTAATTTAAAAAAAAAAATCTGTCCTCCTGTGGAATGGGTAACCTGGGGCATTGCAACATGTAACATGTGAGATGTTCTAATACTTCTAAGGAGCATTTGAAAGTTCCTTAGGGGCATTGCAACATATCTTTTGATGCAAGCCCAACTCGCCTAATATGGAGGTAAAGGGCAAGTGTGTGCAGCACCTTTAATTGTGATAGAACATATATAACATTATTATTATAACTCAGAATAAATACAAATGTTGTGCATTGTATTTACAATGCACAACATTATATTTACAATGCAGTTACCAATTCTGATTAAAATTAACTTTAATTCAGATACTTTGAAGCTCAGTTCCATGTACTTTCAATGGTTTTGTTTTAAGTGCATGTAGTCAAATTTTAACTTCCGATCATTATTAAGCATTAGTCATTCACAGTGATTATTTTAATGCTGTTAAAAAGTAAACTTTTATCTCATGGAAAACACAATTCAATAGAATAATATTTAGGAAATAATTAATCTTTATTGCTTACTTTTTTTCAAAAATCCACTTAAAAATACAAACTATGCAGAAAACAAATAAAAATTAGGTTTTAAATAAAATATATAGTTACACTGAATTTTAAAACAAAAAACTTAAGCTGATACAAATGCATTCAATTTTATGGAGAAAGGGGAGAAAGACAAACATGCGGATTTAATTATAGACTTTTCATGCCATTCTTATGTAAATTATCATAACTAAATGGCATTTTCTATGATTCTGACTGACTGAGAAATTTTTGCAAGTAATACATAAAAATTTTTTACCAGCAAGCAATATTTCTTGCTACATTTGTTTAGGTGACAATATGGCTCTACAGCTACATCAAATTCATTACCTGTATTATTAAAAATGATCATTTATGTTAGAGTAACTATTGACTGTTAATGTTACAAATGATACAAGTATTTTAGTTCAAGAAGCGTATATTATTTGTTTCCATAACATGTACAAATAGTACAAACAGCAAACTCTTTTTCATAAACATAAGGCCAGATAAAATCTCTTGAATCTATATTGTAAAAAATTCACTCCTGTGAGTTAACGCACCAGGATTGAATAATATTTTAGTCAACTGTACGAGCAAAAGAAACACATATTTCTGTCTGTTACAGTGACAGAAGTGAGCAATAAGGAGCTAGAAGTCTTCACATTAAATATAATTTTCACTGCAAGAAAAAATGTCGTCAAACATAATTTTCCCTTTTTAGCAAATATTAAGGTTAATCATCTTGGATATTAACTAAATTATTGAACTCTCAAAATACAAATAAGTTTATTTATTTATAATTATGACTCAGCAAAATGCTTGCTTGATTGTGGAAGTAATAAAGAAAGTCCTCACTATTCTGACATCCCATTTTCTTTATTAAAGACATGATTTAGCAACAAAAACGTTTTTTAAGAACTCAGAAGTTTTATTATTTATGATAATCAAAATTGTGAACTTCAGTAAAAGTTGACCAGTCAACCATAAATTTTAAAGATCACCAAGATATAAAAAAGGAACCTGAAGCTCTGAGCTTCTGTATAAAAGTTCACATGCTTTCACAAAATGAAGGTAAAAATGGGGGTTAGGAATCATTTTTTTCCCATGAAACAGAAGGTAAAACTAAAGTTGAAACTCAGATTTACATTTCTTTCCTTACAAAATCAGTCGCATTGATGGTTATGATCTCATTATAAGTTTCTTGTCCTCTGATTGAAAGAACTGCTAAAGCTAAAATTTCAGCAAACCAGGCTCAGTTCTCTTTCTTGTCTTCTTATAGGATGTCTTTTACCTTTCTACATCTATTATGAAAGAAAATCAACTCTTTGATGCTATTCTGATGATATACATTTGTGGTTCTCTATTACTGGTAAAAAAAAAAAAAAAAAAAGAAAAAAAGAAAAGAAAAGAAAGAAAGAAAGAAAGAAAAAAAAAAAAAGATTCCATAAGCAACAGCATATTCAAGCTTAAATACTGAAGACTATGCCATAATATTAGCGTCCTTGTGAAGTTCTTGCAATGACATCTTATACAATGGCAAATATAAAAAGAGTAAAATTTATTTTTTGAATTTTACAAGACTGTAAATAAAAATTTATAATGGATTTGTCGGAAATTTAAATTTTACTACTTTAATAGGGTTTTTTTTTTCTTTTTAAACTGATATTAATTCAATATCTAATTTATTGATTGCTATAACAGTACTGCTACATCTTTATGATATTAAAATGTTTCCTAAAGATTCATGAAAATTGTAATACAGGCTGATTGGAAAAAGACATGAAAATTCTCAATTTGTTTATTGAAAATGAAAAGTCACTAAAGGATCAGTAATAGAAAAGAAGAGAAGTTAAGAATCATAGTTCAGATTTTTTCCAATATGCCACTGATTTACAAACTGCCTGTAATTAACCACTAAAAAAATGGAAGTATTTATTACTTAAAGCCTAAATACGAAACATGGGCTATAACAAATTAAAATAACAAACTTAAGAGTTAACAAGCATTAAATTTCTTCCTTAACATATTACTGATCAAGCAATACCTTCCATTTTTGTCTGTGTTCAGAAGAATTTACAACTGAGAATATGGTAAAAGGTATCAGCATTTAAACTTTTAAAAAATTCAAACACTTAGTTGCTATTATGATTGAACATCCTGAAAATAATACAAAAAAATTAAAATAACAAACTTAACAATTAAGCAATACCTTCCATTTTTCTCTGTGATCAGAAGAATCTGCAACTGAGAATATGGTAAAAGGTATCAGCATTTAAATTTAAAAAAAAATCAAACACTTAATATGCTAAATATGCTCCATTTATAATATTTTTATGACATATAAAATATGCACATTTAATACAGTAATTTAATTTAATTTAATCAAAGAAGTTTTTTTTTAAATCTATCTACATATTGGTATTGGTACATAGAGTTTTAAATCTACCTATACATTAATTAGACTGTAATTTTTTATGTTATCAATTACAAAGTCTATATTGTTAAATTTAAACAAGATGCAAATAATATGCATGGATACAAGTACAAATATGATGATTGCATTAGCAACAATAGGCAACATGGCATGATTTAGCATTTATTAACTTCGAGTACCTGCTTCTAGCCTATGTCTTGATTAAAAAATCAAAAAGGGCAAAACAAAGCCACAGTCACTATCACCCAAAGACTAAATTTGAAGCATAATTATTTTATAGCAGTTTGACATAAAAAGTTTTCATAAATCATTGTTTATAAAAACAGATAAATTCAGAAGACTATTCATTCATCAGAATGGTTTTATTTTTACAAAAATAGTATATCTTTACCTTTTTGCATTTTTTAAGATAAGTAAGAGCCAACTGCAAACGTGTGTATTTCTCCCCAAATTCTGAACACCATTTCTGCATAAATTCCAATCCTTTAAGCTTTAATGCCTTTGCTGCAGACTATACAAAAAATTATGGATATGAAAAATTTAAGAGAATAATAATAATAATAAATTCTATAAATTCACTGAAAGAGTTTAATACATTTACAATTTATACAAAAACTGAAATTTGTATCAATTATAATTTACAATAGCTATGAGTAGAACTCAACTGTATACACGTACAATTTTTTCCTTTATGTACATATTAATATAAGAAATACTTTAGGGGGGGAAAGAGGAATTCTTTATTTGGTGGCCAAATATATAGATTTTAGAAACATAAAAACACATGCAAATGCTCCCGACTTTATGAGCTTTTGCATGTATGAGCAAACCTGTTTGTAAAGCATGAAATTTGTTTGAAGTAAAATACCAAATGTCATAAAGAAAAAGTACATAATGCCATTCAGAGCTACTGTCTGATTTACAATGGAAGAAAAAGAAAACCTGTTCAGAGAAGTTTACACACTTTTTCTCTCTCTCTCTCTAAAAAAAAAAAAAAAAAAAAAAAAAAAAAAAAAAAAAAAAGACACAACCAAAAATTAGTGGCATAATTGGTGGCCTTGTAACATGCCAACTCCTTCCACTCTCATGCAGCCTCCAAAAATCAAAAATGTGATTTGAAGAGACAGACATTCTAAACTTTTACTAGTCAATGGGTCTTCAATGGTGAGTTAAACATTGATTCACTTTCACCCATGCAAAGGTTCATTCATCTCATCGGTACATACATATTATCCTGTCGACCCTGAAGTTGTCACCAAGCAACATGATTTAGCACTATGGATAAGTATGATAAAAGAACACACTTATAACACCTGTGCTTTCATTTGATGTAATCCCAACAGGTTCTCAATAAGCCACCTTTTATTTTTATCAACAAGCATATAAATTAACTGCTAATGCTGTATTTTTTCTTGCATTTCTGAAAGAAATATTACAATTTGGGTTTTACCTTCTACAGAGCAGCAAGTAGGGATTATTTTCAAAATTATGAAGTCCTTTTTCTACCATTAAAAAAAAGTGTATTAATGGATACAATATGATCAGCTGAATATTGCCAACAAAACAGAAACAGATTGAAAAACAGGTGTCCATTCTTTCAGAATTCCATAGGAATGACTGATGCGTCTTTGGCAGGTGCAGCTTTCGTTTCTTTTTCTGTCTACCAATTTTTGTGGCTCAGTAGCAGCCAATCTTCATGGTTTCATTAAGTGCTGCCTCATTCTTACCTGATCCATACATGCCTCAAAGAATGAGAATCCAAAATACATCTGTATAATAAAGTACATGCTTATTTATCCATAATTTTTTATTTAATATACAGTCAAAAGTCGTTAATCCGGACTCGTCGGGACTTCGGCGATTCCGGATTACAGATCATCAGTTTAAATCTGGTAAAATGGCATGCAGAAATTATAAAATTAAAAATATGAAACCGTAATTTACGAAATAAAGAACAATTATGATCTAAAGGGTATCAAAATTTACAAAAAAAAAAGCTTAATATTTATTTGTTTACTTTATTAAACATTTCTTTCAATGTAAGTTGTTTAAGTTGCTTCGTTTTTTATGTGATAATACTTCCTCTTTAATTCTATAAACAGACATAATTTCTTGTTCAGTTACAAAGTTCCGCTGTTCAAGTCCTATAACTGCTGTGTCGAGAATACCGACTAATTTGTCAATCGAAATTTTTTCGTTTTCAATAACCTCTGTCACTTTCTTCGCTATCGGAAGCGAATTATAATGATGAGGCATTTGATTTAAATCATATCAAAGATGGAGTACATCGAGATAAAATACTACATTTAGTAAGGAATTATAAGCCAAATAAAATAAAAACATCTGCCCTTAAGATAAGGATAGTGCTGACAGATCAACTTCCAATTCATTGCACGCCGCTGCGGCGTTAACGATAAACAAAGTTTAGATAAACAAACGTTAAAGTTTAGATAAACAAAGGATATGCCTTTATCAAATTTTCGCAGCAATTCCACTTTTTGTTTAATGGACTCCGAAAAATACTTTCGCTTTGTATATCCTTTACATATTAGTAAATGTATATCGGAAATTCTATTTGACATAATCGAAAGTTCAAGCTTACTTTTATAAAATTGCTCTAACAGTCTGCAAAAAATAATAATCCGGATCCAATTTGAAGATTTAATGCAATCTGCAACATTAACTGAAATAGATAATTAGATAATTTTAGCTTAGCTTATCCCGTCTGTTATACATTAAACGCGCATTCGTAAACGTATTTTGCGCACGCGCACACGCAAATTTGCAGCGGTAAAGGTCTTGCGCGCATGCGTCAACGCGACGCATGCGCAGAAAGTTTGTAGCTTTGAGGACGGATTATGGGTGTCCGAATTAACGACTTTTGACTGTACTGTATTTAAAATTAAAATAACAATGTGCCCTCAGAATAGTGAAACCACTACATCAATTTAAATACACTTGCGCACCTAAGCTAACTTACATCGTTGCAAGGAAAGGTCAGGGGAATAAAAAAAGACTTAAAATAACTACAGTCGTTAATCTGGACTCGTTGGGACTTCGGCGATTCCGGATTATAGATCATCAGTTTAAATCTGGTAAGATGGCATGCAGAAATTATAAAATTAAAAATATGAAACCGTAATTTATGAAATAAAAAACAATTATGATCTAAAGGGTATCAAAATTTACAAAAAAAAAAAAGCTTAATATTTATTTCTTTACTTTATTAATCATTTCTTTCAATGTAAATTGTTTAAGTTGCTTCATTTTATGTGATAATACTTTCTCCTTAATTCTATAGACAGACATAGTTCTTCTTCAGTTACAAAGTTCCGCTGTAAAAGTCCTATAATTGCTGTGTCGAGAATACCGACTAATTTGTCAATCGAAATTTTTTCGTTTTCAATAACCTCTGTGTCACTTTCTTCACTATCGGAAGGGAATTATAATGAAGAGGAATTTGATTTAAATCATATCAAAGACGGAGTACATCGAGATAAAATACTACATTTAGTAAGGAATTATAAGCCAAATAAAATAAAAACATCTGCCAAAAAGATAAGGATAGTGCTGACTGATCAACTTCCAATTCATAGCACGCTGCGGCGTCCCCCCCCCCACCGCCGCAGAGCAGCGTGAAATTGATAAACAGATTTTGGAATGGTTAGATAAACAAAGGATTATGCCTTTATCCATTTTTTGCAGCAATTCCACTTTTTGTTTAATGGACTTCGAAACATACTTTCGCTTTGTAGATCCTTTACATATTAGTAAATATATATCGGAAATTCTATTTGACATAATCGAAAGTTCAAGCTTACTTTTATAAAATTGCTCTAACAGTGTGCAAAAAATAATAAGACGGATCTAATTTGAAGATTAAGGAACAATGCAATCTGCAACATTAACTGAATTAGATAATTTTAGCTTAGCCTATACTGTCCATTATACATTAATTGCGCATGCGTAAATATATTATGCGCATGCCCACACGCTTATTCGCAGCCGTAAAGTTCTTACGTGACGCATGCGCAGAAAGTTTGTAGCTTTGAGATCCGGATTATAGATCATTTCGGAATATGGGTGTCCGAATTAACGACTTTTGACTGTATAAGTAAAAATAAAGGAAACCCTGTAAGTCTTAGTCTGAAAACCTGGTCATCAACGTCTGAAATTTATTCCAGAATGGCATTTCTCAGTAATACTGTCAACATGATCAACTCTGGATGCTAACTGTGTGTTTTTTCCTCCTTTCTTATGGCAGAGGATATATGCCTTCCAGATAACAATATTAAAATGTAGAAAAGAAAATCATACTGTAATATGTTTCTTCTTTTTTTGATAATTTCAAAATTTGAAAAATTTTGATCCATGCAATCTACTTATACCATTATTGTAATTCATTACGATTTTTGATTACTTAGTTTCAGAATGAATTTGTTCCATTTCAGGATTGTGAATTATGGACAGTAATGAACACTTTCTCTTTTAAAGATATGATTCCCCCCTTTTCAATTTTCTGTGCTGCATTTCCCTCAGGACAACTTTCTCTTCAGGTTTAGCATACCATATGTGTCAATTGGTCATGAAATTAGTTTGTCTGCTAATTCTGGTCAAGAAAAGTAATTGCAATAAGACAGCATCCTTAATAAAATAATAGATCCATCACTGTCAGGACAGTTTGTGATGAAATGCAGAGATTAGAATACTTGGGTTTCAAAATTGTATTTTTCTTGTGCATATTATAATTGACTACACTTAACTGGAAAAAAATTCCCACAGTATAAAACATTTTACTCCAAATTTTACTCTTTTTAGTGGAATAAATTGCTTTTGTGGTGTTGGTTTAACTTCAGAATGCTCCAAATTTGTCAGAAGATTCCTTAAAGAAATGCCAAAGACTTAAGTGAGCCATAAAATTGACTTAAATTTAAAATTAAAAAGGTAAATTACGAAATCACATGCATGATGATAAGCCGACATCAAATGTCAACCATGAATAAGCAGGAACAGTGAAGTACAAGTGCAAGTGAGTCTCTCGGCAAGAAGTTCAAGTCGTTATACTCACGCTATAACGAGTGCACACTGGTACAGTGCAGCAAACCTGGATACTGCAAGAAAATGTTAAAATGCTGGAATGCTGAATATCAAAAAATGCTGAATAATCAAAACAATGTAGGTAGTATTAAAAAAAGAGAGAGAGAGTACTTTAGGGATAAAAGGTGTGTAAGTGGAATGTCTCTTAATCTAGTAATGATCAATTCTAGGTTTCTTCACAATTCCTTGAAGTATATTCAAGGCAAAAAATATATGCATCTCTTCCAGGATTGTTTCTTCCCAAAATTTACTTCTTTTGTGACATTTGATTGGATGCACTGGATAGCATACTTATTTGTGTCTTTCACAATTTTATCCATACGAAAAGAATAAATTAATATTTCATAAAATTCTAAAAACTTCTGAAGTATGATCAACTTGCATGTGTAATGATGGAAATTAAACCTAGGATATGGAACAGGTGGATTTTTTGTAGCAAACTCAGTAAAATTTCTAGCATAAATCAAATCTTCATCAGTGCTGAGCTCACTGCACTAATCACCTGAAGAATCTAGACAACTGAAAGATATTTTTGAATCAGTAATTAGAATTCAGTTCCTCGTCTAGCAATAAAATATTTTCATTACCATATTCATCCATATTTTACCCAACCCTCCCAGAAAAAAATACTCATGATCACATGATTTGAAATCACAAGCCTTCTATATTAAGACTAAATTTTTTCCAAAGCAGAATTTTCAATCTTGCACAAAACAAACCAGATGGAATCTTTTCAATAATATGCACAAATTACACCATCTCTTGAAAAATAGAGACTTAATTGCTTTACAAGTAAAGTGTGAGCAAATCAGAAGAGGAAAAATGAGAAAATATTAATTCCCATATGCAGAACAGGCAAACCAGTTGAGTCAACTTTGAGCAGCCACACACAGTGGAGACATACCAGTCAACGGGTTAAGCATCTTATAGACATAGTGGCAACACTTGTCAAGGCAAATGAATGATAAATTCACAGCAATGTAACATATGTAACAATCAAAATAATCTGTAAAAATACAGAGAATGTTTCTAACATTAAAAACTTAGAAAAAACTGGTACTATTCGGTTTTGACGATTATCAAAAATTGCCAAAATATTGTTAATGCCAGTGCTGCCAAAAATAATTGCGACAACCCTAATGCAAGAAATTAAGTATAATAGTAAGTAACTATTTAAGATTATTGTTTTAATTCAGATGAAAGGTTATTTTCATATAATACTTTTTTATTATAATAATTTATATAAAAAAGGTAAACATGACTGAATGCAAGCATAAGAGTAAATAACTATCGAGATCATTATTATAATTTATATAAAAATTGCTAAACATAGCTAAATGGATGCCTGCATCGCTATTTCGCTACCGAGTTATCGCTAAAGCATAATTTACTCTCGTTGGTTGTTCAAACATAATTTTCTTTAATGAATGATGCTTTTTCTTTGAAAACATTCTCGCTAAATTGCAGAATCGCCCACTAATTTGTTTGCCGCTTTTTACAAGGGTAAGAGCAATTGGATTTTTGTCAATTTCTTTTACTTTTTAAGTGAAAATAGGTCGATGTGTAAGATAAAGTCAAGGGTGTGTGCAGTGACATTTTTGTGCAATTCTGGGATTTTTTTAAGTGAAAATACGTCAATGTGTACATGGATACCGAGTATGTGCAATTCTTAAAAATGCATCAAGCAATGGGTGATTCTGCAGTTTATCCAAAATTCTATTGCAGACTTTTCGTCATGGGCAATTCCGAAATTGTTAAATCCATAGGATATCTAGAAAGGATTTAAAAATTAAACTAGTACTTCAATGGCATCTTAAGAAATATAGAACTATATAAACTTACGCAGTCTGAAATCAGCGCATATGTTGAATTGGCGCGCTGTTAAATGGGCACGTTTGCTAGATTTGGCATTTTTGCGCATACATTTTTGCTGCAATTTTTTTACAGTCCTCAAAACGGAATAGTACCAAAAAACTCTGCTAAGATCATTTATAACAACGAAATTAAATCCAAGGATACTGATGTCCATTAAGGTTTTAGGTTGCCCCTGACAAATACAATTCATAGGATGATGGTTAATTTAGGATCAACTCATATATCATCAGTGTGTGGCAGTCCAGTAAATTCAGACAACAATTTTGGTTAAAATTAAGTCAAAGCATATCTGTGCTTATCAAGATCAAGTGATTTACAGACTGATGTCATTTCTGGTTAATTAACGTATCTCCCTAAAATACAATTTAAATTTTATTAAGAGATAATAATTTCAATTCAATTAGTTTCATGAGAATTTATCATTAAACTTTTACTTATGTATTGTTTGATCAGTATGTATGTACTGTTCCAGTGACAGTGAAATTTGGCGACCATCAAACCATGAGAGGTGGCCGAGATCTTGCCAAATTTGTGCCAATTGCTCCCACAGAATTCCGAGTTCCATGAACAGTTCTGCTAAAGAATTCTGAGCCACATTTCTGTCTGCAGCTCTTAGAATAAAATATTGATCAGTCTCTCAGCACATTTCAACAAACAGCCACTGCTGCAGAAGTTTTCTTTCAGAATTTCCTCAACAGTGGCTGTTCAGTGTGGCTACAATTTTACGTGGTGGCTTCATTTTTATACTTTATAAAAAGGCTTTCATTGATTTCTACTATTCTGCTAGGCTCTATGATTTTACTCAAGGCTCTTTTTAGTACAAACAACTCACAACTAATTGTTCCAAACTATATTGTTTTGTTGACCATATCCAGCTGTTGTTTTCCCATTCAAAAGACAGTAATTATCTTGATTAGCTGTAAATGAACCAAAGTGCCATCAAAAATGTGATTCTACAGCCCTCCAAACCATTTTGAAACGGATATTTTCTTATCACAAATTCTCACACTGCATACTCGTCTACCTCTGATTACATTAAACGAAGAGCAGATGCATGAATATGTTGTAACGTCATGCTTATCCACAACTGGGATTAAATAATGCTGCTTGAAGGGGATAATACATTTGTACCATATTTTCTTTATTGCTTTTTTAGGAAGTTTAGAGATCAAGATGAAAAAAGTCTTTGTGTTTAATCAGAGGAGTTGTAACTCTACATCCAAAACTTTTGAAAAGACTTCATGTAAGAGCCTATTAATTCATGAAGTAAAGATTAAACTAAAAATTTATAATATTTAGAAATAAGAGAAGTGTTAGAACTTATATAAGTTTTAAAACTTACTTAATTTTTCAGTTTAGTGCCAAAACACTTCTTTATAAATAAATTTAAAATAAACACTGAAATACATCTTAAATGTGTTGTGATTTTTTTTAAAAAATCAATTAAAGCAGTTTGTATTTTGCCCTAAATGGAATTTTTTTTAACTGGAATCCTAAACTTTAAATTTTAATTTTACAGAACTCTCACTATTTTGTAAAATCCTCTGCATTAGCATCAAGGAAATAAATTCTATAGAAAATTTTTTAGAATATCCAACTTAAATGCTTATATAAAATCAGATGTAATTATTAGAAAACAAGTATCAGTCTTTTGATTTCCAATACATAATATAAACTGCATGTTAAATAACAATAAGTTATACAAAAAAAAAAAAGGGGGGGAAACTGAAAATGTGTTCAGGAAAAGAAAACATAGAAGTAATAAAATTACAGTTCAGAAAAACATTACAGAGTAGAGTACTGCAAACTCGACTCCTGATATCTCGACATTCCATATAATTCAACAACTTTTTAAAGACAAACAGGGCAAATATTACACACAGTACATATAAATGCGAACACATATTTATGTATGTGTAGCACATTATGACAAGTTTGCAAGACTCTGCTACACTTAAAAAGTATCAGAAATAAATTTCAGTAATTCTTTCTTTTAAGAAATCTTCAAATAAATCTATAATGTTAAGTATACCTTAGGCAAAGGCAGAGGAATTTCTGAGTCTGTTTCAGCAACTAATTGAAGAAATTCTTCTAAATCAACTTCAAGTAATTTCCTGAATGCAGAAGATCTACAGAACAGCTCATTCATGATCAAAAGAGCACTGTAACGAATTTCTGAATGCTTTTTCCTTAACTGTGTCATCAAAGCATAATAAGCATAACTGACATAATCATTTGATAGCCTGAAATATATAAATAAAATGATGCAATTTTGAAAATGAAAGCAATATTAAATACACTTTCGCTTAAAATAATTTATATTCATTATCAAAATATAAATTTACAATCAATAAAAGACTATAATTAAATTTCTACGTAAACTTCAAATAACAATTAAACTTCAAATAACAATTAAAAAGAGTGAAATAAATTAAACATGACATAATACTCAAAGTTCTACATATATTTAAATAGGAAAAATAAAACAAATTCATTAAATAAAATTTAATTTTCTACTATTCAGGTACAGTGTAGTTGAAAGAAGCCCAGCATGGAATTAATTACACAAGAGTACATTTAGATGCTGCTTAATTGAATAATAAGTAAAATAATCACATTTCTTTGATAAAACATTTTAACATTCTTCTTATTCCCCAATAAATCTTGTTGAAAGTTAGACACATTTTAAATAACATGAATTTTAGCATGGTCTTGTATAACAGTTCTGTTGGAAGTACAAATCTTCATTTGATTTAACAGTTAATAAAATTTAATTTAGATTTACAGGCATTTCATATTCAACTTAAGGAACAGGAAAGATTACAACAGCAATTCAAAAAGCATCCTAGTATTTGTTTAGAGTAAACGATTTTAAGTACATTAAAAATTTATTAGAAATAAGGTTTACTTGCAAATCTTCTTTAATTTTTTCATTCCATCATCATCCAAAGTTCGTTGACCTGTAGTCGTTAGAGTTTCTATAATCTTTAAAATTTCAGATTCTTTATCTTCAAGAGACATTTCATCACAAACTAAATACAAAACCTACAAATATTAGTTAAAAGTATTAGAAATGAAAAACATTGACAGAATTCATACATAAATTATATATTTGGTTAGAGTAGATTGAAGGGTACCTCTTGTATTATCACAATGTCGTTGTTTCATTTTGCGATAATACAATCGCAAAATGATGTCGCAAATGCGAAATAAAGTTGTTGTTTCATTTATGGTAACCTGAGCAGTTAAATTTGTAGGTGATTGCCAATGTGCTTTCCGCAAAGGAAGATCTACAACAGAACATATCTTTAACATTAGGCAAATTTTGGGGAAAAACTAATGAATATGGCTTAACAACGGACCATGTTTTTGTTGATTTTAAGACTGCCTACGACTCGGTAAACAGAAAATATTTAATTGAAGCTATGAGAGAATTTGCAATACCTGAAAAACTTATAAATTTGGTCACCATTACTCTTATTGAGACAAAACTTAGGGTTAAAATTCAGAATAACTTCTCAGAGCATATTGTTGTTTCAAATGGGCTCAGACAGGGTGATGCAATGGCCTGCTTGCTTTTTAACCTTATCCTCCAAAAAATCATAAAAGACTCCAACAATAATACTCATGGAACTATCTTTAACAGGTCTGTTGAGATTTTTGCGTTTGCCGATGATATTGACATAGTCACACGCACTCCTGAGTCACTTAGAGAGACTTTTACATCTCTAGAGGCTGCAGCCAGCAAAATGCATCTAGCAATCAAACAAGATAAAATTAAGTACATGCCATGTGGTAATAACAGCAGCCCCTATTTTGAAATTGGGAATTACAAATTTGAAACTGTTAGCAAATTTAAATATTTAGGATCAGAAGTTAATACTCTCAATGATTTAATGCCTGAGATCCGTAGTAGAGTCACAGACGCTAACCAATGTTTTTTTCGCCTCAAAAAATACTTGAAGTCTAACTTCACTAGCAGAAAAATGAAGATTCTATTTTACAAAAGCTTAATCAGACCCATTCTTACATACTCTGCTGAGACCTGGGCAATGGCATAAAAAGCGAATAAGCTAAAAGTATCATTTCTGTCTTTGAAAGAAAAATGTTGAGAAGTATTTTTGGTGGCATAAAATGTAACAGTATCTGGAGAAGAAGAACTTACTCTGAACTCTATAAATCATTTAAAGAACTAGGTATAGTAAAATATATAAGGATTCAGAGAATTAAATGGGCAGGGCACCTGTGCAGAATGGATGAAAATCGTGTAACTAAAAAGATCTTCTTGGCCAGACCATTCGGCACTCGAAAAAGAGGGAGACTAAACTTAAATGGCTCGACTGTTTGGAAACAGACTTAAGAATTTTAAAAATAACTAATTGGATGTCCATGGCCAAGGATAGAAGAGCTTGAAATTTGATTCTGAGGAAGGCAAGGGCCTATCCTGGGCTGTCTGGCCATTGAAGAAGAAGAAGAGTTAGATGTTACGGAAACCTTATTATGACATAATCAGTTGTGTGATTGCCATAAATTTTGAATGACGGGAAAAAGATTTGTAAAGGCTTGTAATGTGTGTTGGTTAGGAAGTACATTGCTTGTTTTGTGGTTTAGATGGTAGAATGGGCTGAATGTGGTAAGATTAATTTGAAGTTTTTGTACGATTTGGAACTAAAGGGGAAGAGAGCATTAATTGACCAGTGTGTAAATGAAGGTTTACTTAGCAGCCATTATAAGTGTCTTGTTTGTAAGAAGGAAATGCATATGGTTGAACGGAGGATACTGGCACTATGAGGGATATTTTTGACTCTCACTTTTGTGAATTTACGTGGCGACACCGACATACAGATTTTAGTTCAGATAATTTTAGGAAGTTTTTGGATGCTGTTAAGGAATTTTGTGTGCCACAGACTTAAGAACTCAGAAATTTCTAAATAAAGTAAATATTTGCTTTGTGTAGTGCTTAGATGCATAAGATGAATTTCTTTTCTTTTTTTTTTTTTTTTTTTTTTTTTTATTTTATTGTTTGAGTTAAAATGTAGTTTATTGAGATTATGTATTTTTTGTTTGGCTCCACTGGAGAATTGGGTGCTCCTTTGACTTTTTAAGTGAAAATTAATCCATGTGTACATGGGCGAGTCTAGGGAGTGCACAGTGCCAAGTTTGTGTAATGTTTCTTTAAGTGAAAATAGGTCAATGTGTACATGGATAAAGCCAAGGAAGTGCACAATGCCATGTTTTTTGCAATTCTCTGATTTTTTTAAAGTGAAAATAGGTCGATGTATATATGGATACCGAGTTTGCACAATTCTTTGACTTCTTATTTTGTCTTTGTGTAGTGGCTATTTTGGGCACAAAAATTGCCACAACACAAAGCCAAAATAAAGAGTCAAAGAATTGCACAAAGTCGGTATCCATGTACTACAAAAAATTGCCAATTTTTACCAAGGGGCACCCATAAATATATTTTTACCATATATATTTTTTACCTAAAACATATGGTTTATAGCATGACTATATTGTCCCCTTTAATTTCCCCTCCCAAAACAACAGCTAAAATGTCAATCAAGATTTATACATTATATCAAATGTTGTCCAATTTAGTGCCAGTAAAAGCCATATGTTATAATTCAGAAAAATACAAAAGTCACAACTAGATTCTTAACAGCTGCAATTAGATATTTATTTCACTTTAAAAGCAGCAGAACAGTTTTTGAACAGAAAGAAATGCTAAAGAAAACAAGTGACAGAACCTCATTTTAAAATCTCAATGGATACTTGTAAGCATAAATAGATACTTCTTGCTTTTCATTATTTGAATAAATAAATAAATTGCTATAACAGTATATGACTTCTAAACCTTTATCCAATGAAATTTTTTTTTTTTAGATTAAAAAATCAAGTTTTTTCTTTTAGTATCCAAATCTTTATTTAAATTTTTCTTTTTAATGTATAACAGTTAATTGACTTGAGGAACAATATACTGCTATATCTATGAAGTAAACCTTAATGAAAAATGTGGGTACTTTACTGTTATAGTATCCCCAACCATAATTGGCGATTTACATTTGTGCCAGGATCTCGGCTATATTTTCACCAAGCTTGTGAAGCATGAATGTAAAAATAAACATCATAAAATATACAGAGTTGTAGCTAGGGTTTTCAGCGCCCAGGGTAACTGAAGATTTCGTGCCCCCTACTGCTTGCCAAGAATGGAAAACATTGAATTCTAAAATGTCGTAACATCAATTTGGCACCCCTTGGATTCTGCGCCCGGGGACAGATGTCCCCCCTTGCCCCCCTCTAGCTACGCCCCTGAATATATAATAATAATAACTCACATGATGTTTCCTGAGAATATTTGTAAGAGTTCTTATCTTTATCCTTATTATTATTATTTTATCAAATGTATATTCTAGTCAACTGTAGCACTTTCTGCACATATTAACCTGTTTGTTAGATTATTCCATGGATACTAATTCAGAAGTCAAACAACAAAAATCAGTGTTATACTTTCAAATTTTCACAGGACTAGTTTCGATGGTTCGTTAAAACCTTCGAAACTAGTCCTGTAAAAATTTAAAACTATAACACTGATTTTTGTTGTTTGACTTCTGAATTAGTATTTGTTTGGTGTGTTATTGTGACTTAATTATTTTATGGATGTCAATTCCTCTGCCCAAGAATACATAAATCTAATAGCAGTGACGAACAATATTCTGGAGCCACTGAAAAAATTCCAAAGGAAGGCTATTCTCTTTTTGAAATTTTAAACACTGCAACTCCATATAGTTTCATTGTTAACACAAAGTTTCATGCTGTGGCCTTTTTTGCATACTCATTTGTTACATAAAAAATCTCTTTCTTGAAAAATGACATGGACTCTACTTCATTACTTGGTAAATTAAAGACTGTTAGCATCATATTCACACACACAAATAAAAGAGCAATGAATACATTTTAAAATAAACAATGTGAATTCAAAAACCTCATGAAACATAAATAATAGAAGAACATGCAGTTAGAACAAAAATGTAACACAGTGCTAATATATGATTACGTGGCAAGGTATAAGAACGGGTATAGAAGATGGGGCTAGTGCTAACAGTCTTGTGGGAAGATCTGAGGGCAATCCCCAAAAAAAGTTCTCCTATTTTTTGGGGACGTACAGAAAGTTATAATACGGTTGTTGGCAACAGTATCGTGAGTGGTGCCTTCTCCACTACCACATAAGCACGCAGGCGCTTCGCTTGGATGCTTAGTCTTGGCTTGGCAGCCATTTGAAATGGAGCTCCCGATAAATGTTGCCGCCAAGTGCGAAGTGCGCGCAGTTATTCGATTTTTGAATGCAAAAGGCGTTAAACCAGTTGAAATTCACCGCCTATTGACGGAAGTGTATGGACAGTTGTGCATGGATGTCAAAAACGTTCGCAAGTGGTGTAGAGAGTTTACAGCCGGTCGTACTGAAATTCATGACGAAGAAAGGAGTGGGAGGCTGTCAATTGCCGACGAGACAATCGGAAAAGTTGAGGAACTCATGCGTAAAGATCGGAGGATCACTCTGGATGCTCTCTGCATTTTGGTTCCTGAGGTTTTCAGAAGCACCATCCACAGGATTTTAATGGAAAAGTTGCAATATTGGAAGGTGTGTACAAGATGGGTGCCGCATATGCTGACAGAAGACCACAAACGGCAACGGTTTGATTCTTCCCGCGATTTCTTCGCCGCTACGGAGACGAAAATGACAACTTCTTGGACTCGACTGACGCTTCCTGAAGGGCATGGTGCAAGCTGGTATGACATGGGCATTGTAAAACTGCCACAGCGTCTACAAAGATGCATCGACCGAAATGGCGATTATGTTGAAAAATAAAGCATTTTTCAATCTTTAAAGTGATGTAGCAATTATAGAAAATAAACGGTTCTTTGTATATCTAAAAATATAGGAGACCTTTTTTTTTAGATTGCCCTCGTATAAGAACACTCAACCAGATTTTAGCGAGATATCTTAGTTGATTGGCAATTCAATCTTGGGCCTGCTATAATAA